AAAAAAATGAACTTAAATGATTTTAGCATATGGCTGCAATATAACAAAGAGTGAAAAATTTAAGGGGGTCTGAATACTGTCCGTATCCACTGTATATGTCTATTTTCTTAGCCTTGCCAGAATGCCCACCTGGCATCCTCACTTCTGCTTGCGCTCCTGACACTGTCTGTACCGTCTGCAGTCCTGACTCAGATTAGAGATGAAACATCTTCAAGAACCTCAAACAAGTCCAATTGCCAGTGATATAACCTTTGGAAATACCATGACCTGGATGAATGAAAATCTACACAGACATACCATTAACAGACCTGTTCTACTGTATGTTCTACATCAGAGCCAACAAATGACCTGGTCAGTGATTTCACAGATAAGCTCTGCCCTTCAACCTGACCTGAGGTTGGGGTCATTATTCTGACTGGTCAAGGTCTAACCCTAACCCTGACCGCATTTCAGTTCAGAGCAAAATATGTCACGAGTCTGTGGATGTACGGTAAAGAAATCCTGGTTTCTCTGGCTCTTTATGGAGCCTGACTGGCCTCCCTGTTCTATGTGTTACTGCTTAACTATGTTCACATCAAAGCTGAAGACCTGGCGTGTCCACAGCAGTGTGAACAGACCAGACCAGATCTGGGCCACCTGCGTATGTGCTCCTAGACCCGATTCCTCTCCAACCTCTGACTGTGCGAGCACTGTCAGAACGATCAAATCAGAATCCATGTGGTCGATTTAATGTCACCTCATCTGCACATACAGCCTGTTGTCATCATTCGGCGTCGGCCCCTCACAGACCGGTAACAATAAACATTTATACTGTATATCAGGGTTTTTTTGTGCCTTGTATTACGTGTGTGTATTACCAGTCCTTGTTGTTTCAGTGCTGACTCCAGATCTGTAACTCTAGTTTGGTATCGACTGATTTCAGTCAGCAGTTGTTCTCTGGTCTGAAACAGAGGGAATATAACCGTCAATCTGTTAATGCCTTGCTTTATTGCAGAGAATAAAACCAGAGAACAGAGAATGTGTTGCTGCCTTGCTCAGAGGTTTGGTCACCTTGATTTCCTTTTCAGCGTCATAGTTTCCTCCACTTGTTTCTGTTAGCAAAGCGTATGCTCGCTGTAGCGCCTGATATTCTTGTGTCAGCTGACGGTAACGAAGCTCCGCCTCTTCACGCACACAAACCTGAGTCACACATAGTCAGAAACCCAGACCAGTTAGACCACTTAGACCAGTAACAAAACCATATAATCATATTGCTGACTTTATCTCTAACACTCCTCATGTTGTTTTTCTGGATCAAAGAAAAATATGTTCATCCTGTAGACATGAAGAGGGATGAGGCTTTCAATGATAAATTAACAAAGGAACTTTTTTAAGCACAAACATGAACATAAACTTTATTTTATCAAAAATACGAGGAATTTGACTCCAGCCCAATGGCCCCCAATGTGCACAACAATATAAAAACAGAATAAAGCCAAAATCACAAGTAAAAAAAAAGACAAAAATGCACACACTGCTGGTTCTTCCTGCAGTCCTGACTGTCCACTGGAGTCTGTTTCTGTCCTGTTTGGTTGAGCCAAACCAGACAGTGATGGATGAGCAGAGAACAAATTCAATGATTCCACTATAGAACTGGATCAGCAGCTTAAAGTTAGGGCTGGATCAGGTGATCCCGAGTCGTCCATTAGTTATGCTGCTATAGGCCTGGACTGCTGGGGTCCCATCATGCTCTGAGCTCCTCTCCCCTCCTCTCCATATGCCACTACCCGTCACTAACTGCACGTCTCCTCTCTCTCTCCCGTAGTGTGTCTTCTCTCTCTCATAGTGTGTCCTCTCTCTCTCCCTATACCTTTCTGCAGGTTGCCCTGGCGCTGGGGCGCTATGTTTCCGATGAGCAGTCACCGGCCACATCAACCTGCCCAGTGTTTGATTGTTTGTTGTTGCTTCTTTTCTCTCTCCTCTATCCACTCACCCCAACCGGTCGAGGCAGAAGGCCGCCCCCCGAGAGCCGGGGGCTGTCAGAGGTTT